AGTTCAGAAGTAAGTGTGCATATTTGCCTGTAGGTCCTGTATTGCATCTGCCAAGCTTGTGAAAATGTCTTGGATAACCTAGACATCCAAGGTTATCTTAGGATAATCTTAAACGTCACTAGAAACATGTTTAGGCAACTGAACCAAGCCCTGTGAGACTTCTGAAGGACAAGCCAGACTGCTTTCTAGACTTCATCTGACTGGGCCGATAAACTTCACAGTCTACAATGAGTACTTAAACTTGTATCTTGCATGTAGACACCGACACTCAGACACCAACACTTAAGTGTCTTAATTCTGGGCTAAGCCCTAACGTTTTAATTCTTGCAGGACTCACCAAGGCATACATATAAATGAAACGGTAGTAAGGCTTTCTACTTAGAAATTTAAAGCCCTCCCAAGCAGGTGTTGCCATTATTTAAAATTGAACTTCAACCCCAAAATTCAGAATAACACCTCTCTCAAATAATGTTAGGATAAATCATCCTCTGTTAAACCATCTTTGGTGTGCAGGGTAGAGAAGTCACATCTTTCTGCATTTGCATTAACATGAACATCCCCTCCAAGAGGGCTCTACTTAATCTTTCCCTAAGTTTCTAATCCTGTACTTGTTTACAAAGCAAATAGTAAAACAAGAAGAGAAACTAACTTCCAAATAATTTTCCTTAAGATCTATGTCTTTTCTATCATCCTGAAATTACAGCACTGTACATTCTTGGCCCAAAATCATCAATAAACACTACTCTTTCCCTCTACAACTACGTGAATGGAGGTTACAGCAAGGTGGAGGTTGGTCTCTTCTCCCAAGTAACAAGTGATAGGATGACAGAAAATGGCCTCAAGTTGCACCAGGGAAGACTTAGACTCGATATTAGACAGTTTCTTCATGGAAAGGGTTGTTAAAATACTGGAACAGGCTGTCCAAAGTGGATTCACCACTGGCTGGTGATGGTGGATTCACCATCCCTGGAGGTATTTAAAAATGTGCTGCACTTTGGAACATGGTTTAGTGGTGGACTTGGCAGTCCTGGGTTAACGGTGGACTCTACGATCTTAGAGGTCTTTTCCAACATAAATGATTCTGTGATTCTACCTGTGGGAGAAGCTGAGCAGGTAAGTTTCTTTGCTTGCTGGAGTATTGCTAGTCCACTAGCTACAGAAGTAACAATTAAAAGCTTTGGTAAAGTTCTTTGAAGTATATATTTACACATAAAGACCATATTAATATTTAAATAAGACTTTCACATAACTCTGTCCACATGCATGCACTAGAGGGAGCTAGGACCAAACCCTCCATATACATGCCCTAACACTGCTTCTCATGATCATTTCACACTACTTGGAACTTTGCTCCTAGAAAATGCTGTCAGCATCCCAAAACACCTGAACAGAAGGTCATTAAGGATCTACCTCTGAAGCACATTTAAGCAGCTGAGGTTTCAAGCCCCATTCTAAAGGGAATGGCTGGAGCAACTGTGAAGGGGGGAAGAAGGAAAAGGGGAAGGGCCTCTCACCTCTGACCAGACATGCTCCTGGACTCCTCACATACCTTTGGAAGCCCACCTGCCTTTCACTGAAGAGCTGAAGTCCACCCCCTCCATATCCTCTCACCACAGCCTGGCAGATAAGAGTAAGCGGGGACACTCCCTTAAGGGATGTCCTCACACAGTGAACAGCATGACCACCAGTGCCTATATTAACATAGTCAGTTTTTAATCAGGCTTCGTAAAACAGGGTTTGCAGCATTTTTGCTGCATCCTGTTTCCATTGCACTGAGCCAAAGCGATGCTCTTGCCCTCTGAAGTACACTGCAAGAAAATTATTTTGGTTTAAAACCTACCCTTTGTAAGTCAGGAAAAGCAAGGGATTCCTCCCAATTTTCCATGTATTCTTAACTGATGTCACCCTGTACAGATGTACTACAGTACAGCCTTTAATCCTACACAATCTCCTCATGTGCCTTGTGCCATACATTGAACACACAATGCCCAGAGTTGCTGGCCAAGCATGACTGACTGTGCGTGTGTCAATGCAGATACATTTTGAGCTGCTATCTGTGTTATTTTCTGAAATAAAGGACGTACAGAAGACATGAGACAGAGTTCTTTTTTTTTTCAAAATACAAGCTGACAGCACATACTAAATAATTTACTGGACCCAACAGAGTTTTTAGGCTTTTCCAGCCATTAGCTGACTCTAACTTTTGGGATGTCGACTTTTCCTTTCCACTGGTGCTTCAAGGACACCAGGATCATCACAGTCAATCCAAGGAAGACCAGACATTTTTCCCCATGTCAAAATACTAAGCCAAATTATACTAAGCTAAATGATTAAGCCCTGCTAAAACCTTCTTTTCATGCCTAGCATTGTGAGTAGAAGTTGTGGGAGCTGAAATGGGACAGGTTGAAGTCTTCAGGTTGTAAAATTAAATACTTGGGAGTACCATACCAGAGGACACAAAGAACATTATGATCATGAACAAAGTCATCTTAATTACCAAGTTAATAACCTACTCCTGTTGTGTTTCTTGGGCTAAAAAAATACTGAGAGTTAGGACCACAGAGTTACTATGAGACCTTTCCTAGTGTTGTAGGTTTGTCTCCAATCTTAGGAGGCTGTAAATGAACAGAAAATTTGGGAGTTTCGTCTCTTATAAAGAAGAAGTAACTACTAACTACTTACCCTAGTTTGAAATACACTGTTTTTCTACAGTAGCTTTTAAAGACTCACAATGACTAACACAAAAACAAGAGTGAGAAAAAAAGACAGCGACGGCACGTGCTACAGAAGCCAATGAGAACAGCTGCCAGAGTGGGACTCATTTCCTCCACAGGCAGCAGTGCAGAGCTTTGGTAACATACCCACACTCCTTCCACAGGCAAGAGAAAGAGGCAGGACCCTCCAGGGCAATTTTACCCTGCCCTCATACAGACTTCTAGAAAAGCAGATGGACTGAATGCCAAACTTCCAAATGGCTGAAGTTAAACAAGTGAAAACCCATCCTCCTGTTAAACCATCCATTAATTTCAGCATGGAGTTGTATGTATACACACACACAAATATATACCACTAAAAAAACAGACAGTTTCTATAAGTGCTGTTAAATTTAAAATGTTCTAATCCTCCAACGCAAACAAAATCTGCACTGGGAAAGGAGGGGCTCTGCCTGCCATCCTGCTAGATGAGAAATTGCATTAAGGCACACCTATGTCTTTGTGGCACTAGTTACTTGTGTGAAAGTGTTCCTATTAACTGAAAAAAAAGACTGCTTACTGGTCCTTTTGTAGGCATACATACATTCTACCTTCAGCCACAGTTGGCCCCTCTGGCACTCAGGAGTGCGGGTGGTGGACCTGCCCCAGCTGCATTTCTGTGCTGGAGAGGGTCCCTAGCTGAAACCCTGCCCAAACCACCCCATTTTCTCATAGTCCCTTGGCATCTTCAAGCCCCTTTGTCACCACTTTGGGACCACAAAACTACACTGGATACCACCAAAAACTGTTCTGCTGCAGACACTGTTCTGGAAAGAACCATGAAATACACCATTTGCCTGCTGCACTTTCAAGCATTTTTTACAAGCTAGCTTCAGAAAAGTACGCACAAAACAGCAACACTTTTGGTGAAAACGCTAGAAGCACAAATGCCACAATGTTGGCAAATGAACTTTAAAAAAAAAAAAGAGAAAACGTACTGGTTTGTGTTTCTTCAAGGAAGTACGGTGTATTTCAGAGGTAGTATATTTTTCATAAATTATTATAAATAAACTCTTGCAACAACTTCTATTTTTCCACAGGATACTCAAATAGTTTTGGGAATGACAGTAAAAAAAAAAATAAACCTGCTGGTATAACATTATTAAGCAAAACATTTTCACTGATTTCTTTCTAAGCCCTTGGCAAGTGGAGGGGAATGAATCAACAGGTGAGAATATCCACTGGGTCTGCAACAGCTTATTGGTCTGTCCAGGAGCAACACAAGGAAAGGTGATGGGGACATAGCCCTTTGCTTTCTCTTGGTGAGCAAATGTGCTTGCTTCCTCTTCAATCTGACCTCTCAGAACCTGAGGGAAAACACCTCTCAGGTGGAAGTGCTGGAGTATGGTTCCAAAGCAACGGAAAAGCCAGAGCGACCCAACAGCTGTGCAAATCCTTTCCCTGAGAGATGCCAGGTGCATTAGGGTGGAAATCTCTACAGCCCCAACAGAGGAGTCAAAGCTACGCACTATGGGTTCCAACAGATATGTCTTCTGTGGGAATCAGGTCATACAGGAGGAGGGGGAATCCTTACCAAAATGAAAACTGTTATTAACATAAACTGCAGAAGAAGAGGAGAAAGTATCATCTTTCCTAGCCTGCCTCAGCCAATAACCCTCAGGGTTCTTTCTAATAACATCCTTCCTTGGGGAAATATAATTACCAGGTTAAAGATACACTTTCAAACAGAAAGCAAGCATAGTCATAAATATCTTGAGTGCTGTTTAGATCACTAGCATTTATAGAAAACATTCAATTTTTTTCTTTTAATTTTTTTCCAGCTGCCTTGTCCTGGTTGTCATTTTTGACAGCTTCCATGCTTACAAATTAGTCACTTCCACACACCTCATGGAGAAGGCTACATGAACACACCTGAATGTTTGAAATCTGGGATGATCTTCCTTTTGAACTTAGGTGTTAATAATAAACTTTTGTAAGTAGTCCAGTACTACGGTGATTCTAACTCCAGCTGGGTTAATTACACAATAATTAGGTACAAACATCGCAACACAAAACACAGCTACATCATTATTTGCAACAAATGTTAACTCTAAATAAGTGCAACCTGTCCCACAAACACTTGCTATAAACGACTTAAAAATAAACGAAAATTTGATGGGGTAAACACAGAAATAAAAAAAAATTCTCCGGGAGAATTTTTTTTGTTAAAAAAAAAATTAAAATAAAAATCTCAGCACTCATTTAGAGTTCAGGATCTTGTGAAAGAAAGCTTTAAAAGGAGCAAACCTGATTTGCTGTGGCTGTTGCGGCGAAGGGAACACTTGTTGCAGGAGTTGTTGCTGCAGAGACAGTGGCGGCCGTAGCGTTGTGCATCATGGGTACTTTCAGGAGGGGAACCATGGAAGCAATGAACAGGAGGGTGCAGCATTATGGTAAGAGAAGTGGTATTTTTGGCATGGTGAATATCAAGAGCGGCAAGCCATCATCATGGGTTAAACCGGCAGATGGCATGCAATCACAGTGCAAAGCGAGAAAGCGTGGCGGAGAAATAAAAAAAAGGGGAAAATAGCTTATTACAAGTACAATTAAAGGAAGGTTGTCAACACAATCAGCGATTCCCAGAAAAAAAAAGAGTAAGGACCACTGAAAATGTGACTGTTGTCTCTAAGAAGAAGATTACTTGCACAAATGAGGTCTTTACCAAAATAGCCCGTTACCTGCGTATTGTTACATGGGTTATTTGTTTTACCCCAGTACAGACAGAAATCACTTCAAAATAAAATTCTACTACAAAAAGGCACAGTGGTTTGAACTGGGAAGAAAACTGATCAATGTTTATCTTAATTTTTAAACACAATTAAAAATTAATTATTTTCATGTAACTTCATTTTGAAGTAAGCCAGATACTCACTGTCTTCCTTTATAATCCAATTTACGCATTTTTTCCTACTAGCACTGCGTAACTGTTTGACTTTATCAGAGTTAAATTACCATCTGCTTTGAGGCAAAAATCAGGAGAGGGATGATGATAATTTTCCTGATATAAATACTATTTTGTTTGATCTAAAAAAGCAAGATCGATTTTGTGAAAGTCACTGCTTTTGCTCATTTTAAAAATGAATTTTAATCAGCATCTTCATGGGGGAATTATTAACTTGATGTTTTAAGGCTTGATATTTTAACCATTTTATCTGAGTAGGCCCAAAAAACCCCAAAAGTAAAATCACTGGGATAGGGCTATAGCCTCTTAGAGGCTGTTGCATTGGACTTCACCCTTGCATGCCCAAAATGTTAATTTCAAGCTGCAAATATATTTAAAGGAGGAGTGAGATTCAGATCACAAGTTTCAACAGAACCTCTCTGGATCAAAGTAGGCATTTCTGGGAAACGCTGATAAAACTTTCTAACACACAGCAAAGGAGAAATAGGCACACCACTATGAAACTTTAAAACACTGATGAAAATTTGCTGGCTTTTTCCAGTATTTTATGATTTTATAGTACTAGCCAATATAAAATATAAAGAGAAATAAAACTTTGAAAACTGAAAAGCAGACTGGAATTCATGGTATTATGCTTTTGCAGTGTAGTTGTTATAGCAGGTGATATCACGTCTAAACTGCAGCTTTCATCTACAAATCTAAACACTCTGCGAAGTCAACCAGAAGGACAAGCGAACCTTTAATTCTAGTCAGTGTCTAAATCTTGCCTAGGATTTTTGAAACAAGTGAATATACATCATATACAGTATGAAAAAGAGATCAATAAAGAAATTTGGAACCTACCAATACTGGTAGCGGGTGTCATGCACAAAACTGACCCTGCGTGTCATGCAATGATAGGTGAAAAAAGTGGATAAAGGGAAGAAACAGGTTAGCCGTTTAGAGTTAACATTCAAACTGAGATTCAAGCATAACCACAGAGAAGTAAGTTAGTTAAATGAAACTGTAAGGTCATTCATAGGTTTGCTTTAACACAAAAAGGTGATTGTGTTCTTACTAAAATCCTAAATATACTGTGTGATTTTTGGCATATTTCTGTGCATATTCAGGATACTTCATAAACTTTTTTACTTATTAATTTTATCATTTCACATAGTACTTTTGTAGCAACAAGTTTTTGTTTATAGAAACATCTTTGATTAAAGGTCATGGTATTTGGGAATTTTAGAACTCATTGCATAATTCAGACAGCTCAATATTGCGCAGATCAACATTCACCAACTTTCTGACATGCATCAGAGAAAGAAGTTAAAATGAAATTAAGACAATATTATTCTGCAGGGGCTTTGCCAAATTTGCGTTTGATGTTAATGTACCCATTCTTAACACAATTGGAGGTGGAGCGGTGCTTCTGAAGAAAATAAACACTACTTTGACAATTCCCCAAGCTAAACACCTCAAAGTGTGTAAAATTGCAGCAGAAGGCTCCCAGTGCACCTCAGAGTGTGGAAGCACTGCTTGCCTGGAATGCTTAACCTTTCTGGAAAAGACCAAATGGAAAAAAACATCAGCATATTCAGTAGAGTACATACAGCAAGCTGGTGAAGGTACGCAGGGAAGGAGACTGGTCCCAGATACATGCATATTTGACACAAAGCCGAATATGCTTCCTGTATTCCTGCTTAATTACTACCACAGCACCTTACAGGACTCTGCAGTACTGGCGTAACTATGAATGACCTTACCCAAGAACAGTTCCCAGAGATACACAAAGTTCCTCCTCTAGAGGCTATAGAAACACTAACAAACAGCAATGGAAAGAGAGAAAAGATCTCTTGTTTTTAAGATCGTTCACCAAACAATAAGGAGAAGGTGACAAAGCAATCAAACTGATGTAAAACAAACAAAGTGCAGAACTTTGGAGGTAAGCCATGCTAAGTCAAGCCCCACACTTTTTGTTAGGGGAGCCAGTGGTTAAGAAAGCAGAGGAGTTATATAAAACAATTAAGTTTTATATATATTCCAGCAGCAAAACTTGTTTTAAAATTTAATACACATACACACACACACACACACACACACACACACACAGAACACGTTTGAAAATTATACCAGTTTAGAAAATACCACATAATCATTTAAAATGCAACAGATAATGTCATGCATTGCTCCTTAGACCTGGGTGGCATGACAGTCCTTACACCCGCCAAATCCAACCTTCCCAGGAAACATGGGAATATCAATGCAGCATCTTTAATGGAAAACTCATGACACCCACTCATCTAGAGGGGGTTTCCCTTTCCTAACCTTGTCCCATACCCCACTTCTCTCTCTAATATCCTTTCTAGGTGCTGATGGTGTTTGAGAAGACCAGGAGGTTCATCACTTTTGATAACGGTTTTCTACTCTGGGGCTTGGGCTCCATCTGTTATGTTACACTTCTGTTTCTTTTTTTTTTTTTCATGCACTTGTTTTGGGGCTTGCCAACAACCTGGCCTGTAAGGTTTACTTCCAAGATCCACACTTCTTACCATCAGAAATTTGTCAGATAAAACTATAATTACAACCATTAGCTGGAAAGAGGGACACACAATAAAAGTACAAAAAGTGAGCTACTTAAGGAAGCATGAACACTCCAAAAGTCTGGAAAATATCCAAATGCTCTTTCACTGAAAAAGGTTTAAACTACTGTATTTTCCATAGTTAATTTGAAGTCCTTGGCAATTGCAAATAATAGCAATAAGCCCCAAAAGGGAGTGCTTAAGAAGGAAAAACACCTATTGTGCTGCAAATTCTCAGGGTTTCAATGTAAAATAAATTTGTGGAAATTTCGGCATGTTTGTAAGCACAGGGCAGTCTTCCATTCATGTCCAAATAGGCAGTCTCACGTGTTTGTTTTTTTTCCCCAAACACTCCCATAAATGTCAATGTGTTTTCTGCCACAGATATTCTAGTGCACCAATGTGCTAAAAATACAGCATGCTATAACTTACTATTACAAATACGGGGGCAGGCTCCAAGGTTGTTACTGAGGCCTTATAGAAAAATTCCATGAAGTCAAAGCCATCTGTGTTTGCTTTTTATCTTTAAAAACATATGGGAATGCTGATAGATTGGGAAATCATCATGTGTTGTGTTTCATTCCTTGTTTTACCGACATTCTTTCTATAAACTAAAATAACATTGCTGAAATGTCAAACGCATTTGTAAACACGTAGTTTTAAATCATTCTGGAAGTTCACACTGGATAACATTCTGATACTAAAATATATTATTAGTCAATTCTGAATGAAATTGCAGAATTCCTTAGGCAGGATATTTACCTGTGGGAAGTTTGGAGTGGGGGTGACTGACATAATTTAAAGGGTTATGTTGTTACTGTTTACACAAGCACCTAGCACATTCCTTTTCTCACAGTGTCAAAGAGAAGCTCTGCCACCAGCCATGGTGCTCTGATTTTTACAGAGTTATGAGCACTGAAATGTAAACTGCATTCACTCATCTTCAGATCATCCTTATGAGGAAGTGTAACCCCAGCTATGAGCTGCAAATGCTAGGAAAAGTTCTGGTGGTGTTCCAAAATGAGAACCACAAAAATGCATCTGATGCCTCAAAGCCCTCTAGTGCAATTACAGGAAGCAATGTGTTTTGCCAGTATTGACTGGAAGGTTATGGCTGGTGTTCCCCTTCTCAGGGTGCTCGTGTGCAGCTGGGGCAATCCCCACGGCTGCACAACAGCAGCCAAGGGAGCAGGAAGATGCTGTGGCATCTCTGGAGTGTGATGCTTTTCCCAGCGTTTTTGTTAGCGGAACTTTGCCCTCTTGTCATCTAGGTGAGTGCTGGCAGATACGAGTCAAAATCCAGCCAATTTAAGGTAGGCAAAAAAGGGGCAAACTCTGGATAATGATGAGCAAGGCTGTGAATGTGCAAAAATGCAGCTTAACGGCATGCTGAAGTTTCTCCTTGAATTGTCATCCTGTGCAAGAGGAATTAAAATAACATGTAATTATCTGTGCAGACTTCACCTGAAGTGGGGCAGGGAGCAGTTAAGTGCAACTGCCTGACTTGGAGCTACCTAAGGAACACAATATTGGTTCAATGTGGGTACAACATACCTGTTGGGATAAACGCTGCATGTTGCTGCAACTGAGCATTGGCAAGAGCCTGTTGATAGTGCAAGACACTGGGATTGAAAACGGCACTGGCACCATTGCTTTTTTCAAGTGCTTGTCTCTTTGGTAAAGGGTGAAGAACACCAGGAGGAAAGGCCTGTAAATAAGAAAGTTAGTTAAAATGACGCCATTTTTAAGACGTTGTCTGTAACATATATACAAATATGAAAACTTAGTATTTTTTAAAGCGGCTAAAGATGCCTTGCCATGCATATTAACTCAAAGCACAGCAATGTAAAATGAGTGAAATTTTGTTATTGATAGCAAAAGCATGGTACTATTAACCTAAAACTGTAGCAGCACAACTACTGAAAAGAAACGTTTGCTTTAAAGCAACGAAAATGGCATTGCCTTTAAGTAGGTTTTCAAATATTACAGGGAGAAAAAACCACTTGTGTTTCATTGCCAAGTATTTTCTTTTTTTTTTTAATTTAAATATCATTTCCTATTATTATACAGATTAATGGATTACGTTACACGTTTTTAATTACAAAAGCAGTTTTATCTCAATTCAACTTTTCATGAGAGATTTAAAAAAGATGAAACTGTGTTAGGAACCAAACTAAATAGTCTGCGGTTTATTACGTATGAGAATGAGATGGATAAATAGAGCTTCCGGTAAATTAACGAGTATGTGAAATCATTTCCGGTTGATGTTCGAAAAGTAAAGCGATACAAATTTCATTAGTTGCTTCTCTGAAGGAAAAAAAACCCAAAAACCAAAAACAAAACAAACAAAAAAAAAAAAGCTACATGCAAAGCAAAAGGTGAAAGGTCAAAGTACCAGGTCTACAGTTGCTTCGAGAGGTCGCTTCATTGCTTTGGCAGTCGACTGAGTCTTTTAATAACAGGCAGCGAGCACATGATGGCAGTGGGCCAATGGGAGTCAAGCGAATTAACATACAGGTAAACAGCAAGCAGAGGTGCATCATGGGAACGGCATTGCATTTGTGGATAGGTGAGAAGGAAAAAAATATTCTGAATGCAATATACAACATACAAAACACTAGGCATGCACAACAACAAAAATGTCTTCTAAAGAAATGAATATTACATTTTGAATTAGTACCGAAGCAAAAATGCATCTACTATACCTTAGTTAAAAGCATATAAGAGAGTAAAATATAGATGTTTGAAATTCAGGAAAGTTGAGTAAAACAGCAGCTTGCAGACACTATTAAGCATCATATAAACACTTCACAGAGATGCAAAAAGTTTTAAGGATACGCCTATAGGAATTCCTGATAAGTTAGTTAAGTCACATTTCAAAGTGGCAAAATTGATTTGGGAGGCTACATTCTCAAATGTAAAGCACTAGTGAAAGTTGTAACACATTATGAATGCTATTAACATCAGTGCTTACAAGGCAAAGGTATTTTAATTTAGAGAAGTGAATCATTGAATGGATTTGGGATTCAAAATGAGAGAGGCTCTCCTTTGCCAACGTCTAGTTACACTAACTTATCATTAATTCCTTTTTTTTCCTCCTATAGCTGGGTCATTTTTGTAGATTTTTTTCCTTGTAACTTACCACATTACATTGAGAGGGAAAAAAGGCTTTCAGAACTGAAAACCTACTTGAAAACACACTTTCTAAATTTTGCTACAATCTTCAGTACTAGCTTCAGGTCAGGAGCAGGGAGTAAAAATAATGCTCCCAGTTCATAAGTGAACATTAACCTAAGAGTTACGATATTAGTCCAGCATTATTAATTTTTTAAAAGAAAGTATCTAGGCATAGTACATAGGCATATACATTTATGTATATTTTCATAATAAGATCAAACTTATGGCTGATATGATGGTATTCTGTAAAAATCTTTCTCATATAAAATATTACTTTCAAGTTTTATAACTTAAACAATTCTTAAAAACATTTAGAAAGGAAAGAAAAATTTATTTAGAAATCAAAATTTTTGCTTTTGTTTTTTAAACACAGGCTGGTATTTAGCTCTTTTTAGAATATACGGATTATGTCGACCTTGAAATCAGTATGTGGAAATAGGGAACAAAAGTGGGGGGAAAAAAAAGGACAAGGCACAAAATGCCTGCATAGAGCTTGTGGTCACAAGGTTAGCTAGTGTCAACAGGGTATTTTGCAGAATAGTCCTCATTTTGCTTATTCCTTGTTCCTGTCTCTGTTGCATGAGTCTTCTCAACATTATCTGCATCTCTCCTTTGGCACTTTTCTGGATTACATACCCTGATCTGTAGGATCTGCTCATCTGTCTGTGTCCAAGACCCAGACATAACAAGAAACGCCTGGTACAAAATTAGGATCTGGACAGACTTCTGTCTAAGCAGGGCACCGTGCAGCCAAGGTGTGATACCTGCCACAGGTACCACTGAGAGGCATCACTCTGCCTGTATGGGGCACAGCCTCAGATCCACTCTGCCTTCAGCACAGACCCAAGTCTACAGAGGTGAAGCAGTACAACTGAATTCAGCATTATGCAATGATGAAGTCCACGAATTCAAATCAACATCACTAAGAGTAAAGCATTTCAGTTAATTACATTTATTATCCAAATGCAGATCTTATCTAATCTCACTTTTGAACTTATTATCTGTTTATTATCGCCTTTCTCCAATTCTTCTCCATGCTCTTCTTAACCTCATCTCCCTACTTTGAAGTTTTTTGCTGGCTCTCCCCTCAACTTTCACAGCAAGTTCAGTCTCACAGTTTTCTCAACCCAAAGGCTTTAACTTGATCTGTTTCTAAGCATACTCATCAACCTCGTTTCCACATAGTCTCCCACTCTTTTCAGGCTTTCAAACTGCTCATTTTTCTCCCCTACAGTCATATTTTCTTTTATTTCATCCTGATAGTAAAATTTCCTTTGCCTCTTTCTGTTCCATCAGGTTATCTCCTTCTTAACATTTGATCTCCTACATAACTAACAACCAAAAAAATCAATAGCTACAGACTGGAGAGAAAAAGGCTATGGAAAGGAAATAAAGATAATAATAAAAATTATCAAAGATCCAAGGCATAGTATTTGTCTGCCATATGTCACGTTGGCAAATTATAATGTCTCCTGGAATACAAGTAAGATCCACACAGCAGTGGCCTCCATGGATATGCAAGGAGCTCCTGATTAAATTCAAACACGAGAAAGAAAGCACACAAGGGGTAGGAGCAGGGACAGATGGCTCAGGAGGAACTGGGACACAGCCTGAACATGCAGGGATATGTCAGGAGAGTCAAAGATCACCTGGAGTTGAATCTGGCAAGAGATGTGAAAGCCAACAAGAAGGGCTTCTCCAAGTGCATCGGCAACAAAAGGAAGACTAGAGAAAATGTGTTTCCACTGCTGAATGGGGCAGGCAACCTGGTGACACAGGACATTGAGAAGGCTGAGGTTCTGACAATCCTTTCCATCTCCATCTTTACTGGCAAGACTTGTCTTCAGGACAGTGGGAGACCAGTAGGAAAGTCTGAAGTGAAGATTTATCCTTGGAGGAGGATGATCAGGCTAGAGCACATATAAACAAGCCGGATGTACACAAATCCATAGGAACTAACAGAATGCACTAACAGATGGGTGCTGAGGGAGTTGGCCAATGTCACTGCAAAGTTACTCTTAATTATCTTTGAAAGATCCGACCGACTGGGGGAAGTTCCCGACGATTGCAAGAAAGTAAATGGTATTCCTATCTTCAAAAAGAGCAGGAAGGAAGGTCTGAGGACTCACAGGTTGGTCAACCTCACCTCATCTCTGGGAAAGCAATCGAGCAAATCCTCCTGAAAACCATCTGCAAACATATGAAAGCCAAGATGGTGATGGGAAGTAGTCAGCATATATTTGTGAAAGGGAAATTGTGCTTAAAAGCCTTCTAAGATGAGACTGGCTTGGTGGGTGAAATGAGATCAATGGATGTTCTTTCTCTTGACTTCAAAAAGGTTTTCAACACCACTTCATCCTCATAGACAGCCATATTTAGTATGGGTTAAATGGGAAACAGGTGGACTTCCAGTGCTCTAAAACTCGGAGGAGTGGTTGATACAGAAGATAGATGTGCTGCCACATAGAGGGACCTAGAAAGTCTGGAGAAACGGGCACAGAGGAACTTCACTAAGTTCAACAAAGAGAAATACCAAGTCTCATACCTGGGGAGGAACAGCCCCAAGCACCAATACACACTGTCGGCCACCAAGGTTTGGTAGAAAAGACCCTCAAGACCTTGGTGGACACCAAGACAGCAATGTGCCCTCACAGCAAAGGCAGCTGACAGCATGCTGGGCTGCATTAGGAAGAGCATCACCAACAGGTGCAGAGAGGTGATCCCTCCCCTCTACTCAGCACTAGTGAGGCCGCATATGGAGTGCTATGTCCAAGTCTGGGCACCCCAGCACAAGAAAGGTATGGACACACTAGAAAACAGTCCCATAAAGAGCCCAAAAAATGATGAAGGGACCTGGAGCACCTCTTACCTGGGGAAAGGTTGACAGAATAGAGACCTTTTAGCCTGGAGAAGATACAGGGGGAAACCTCATCAATGTATACAAATACCTGACAGCAGGGTAAAGATGGGGCAGGGAACAAATGTCGATACAAGAAATTCCATTTAAATGTAAGATTTTATATAAAGGAAGTATTTCTTTTTACTGGTAGCATGGAGCAGGTTGTCAGGAGAAGTTGTGGAGTCTCCATCCTTGGAGGCATTATTAAGCCAAACAGGCATGTACTGGGCAATCTACTCTAGCTCACCCTGCTTGAGCAGGGGAAATGAGCTAGGTGATCTCCAGAGGTCCCTTCCAATACCAACTATGAATTCACATTTTCATTTAGGCTGTACAGTCTTCAGTGATGTTTTATGCTCTCTGAAGCACCATATGAATATGTGGAGTTCCACAAGCACAATGACAGGTAACACTCTCTTCTAATGCATTTTCACATTTAACCTATATGTGTACCTCTTTTACGGTGGCTTCCCCCTTTCTTTTTACATGATTAGGTGACCTAGTATATCTGAGTACAAATTTCTAACCCTTAGTGTACAGAAACGCAGATAGTGCACGTTCTGAAAAGTGGCAGAATGCAGAACTCATCGACCTCCAACAGTCTTACCAGCTTTGCCTACAGTGCTCCAGGCCTATCTATGCACAACTCCCATCTATATAAGTACCTTGGGCTCCCCTGGGAAGGAAAACCTCTTGGACACAATTTCAACCTGTGAGCAACCTGCAAGTGAACCCTATAGGCAAGCATATGTATTTTTCCCTTTTGCTCTCCAGATCCAACTGAGTATTCTTAGTCATTCTTGGGTGGCCTTGCAGTCATGTAAGGCCATTTCTACCACTTTTTTGTTGTTATTGGCATTCTGGTGATTTTTCATTCACTCTATCTGATTATTTCAAGTCTATATTAAGCAAAAAATAGTTGAATTGCAAAGAATCTTGTCTGCTAGCCTAAATGTGCCATTAGAATATTTTGTACAATTTTTTCTGCAAAAAGTTACTCTGTTCAGCTGCCTTCTCCAGTGACATTAGACTGCTAATATTTCAATTCTGTGTTTCCAATGATGCTTCATCTTGCTTTGAGGCTAATGCAACTCCAGTTAAGGCTTATTTAAAATAACAGAATATATATACAACCATTACTGAAGTGCAAAAAAACCCCATAATCCACTCATCTCTCTCCTTTCTTCTTCAGTATAGTGCCTAGAAATACCACACTCTCTAAATGAACAATAAATATTGCACAACAGAAGCTAATCAGAATACAAACCCAACCTTCTTTGCTTTAATTTCCAGATGGTATTCAATTTCTGCAAGCACAGGAAACTTTAACTAAAAATCATCCAATTTGAAACAGAGACTGTTAGAGTATTAGAGAAAAAATATTAAAACTTAAGAAATATTATTCTGTTTGGTGGTTTATGTTCTCGCATAACTTACCCTTTGTCCCTCAAAAAAGTCTGGTCTTTGCTATTGGCTAAATACAATAGCTTGGGGTAGTTATATACTGTACTGTATTGTGTTTCTGGTAAGCTTTTTACCCAGAGAATAACTGTATTGTCTATAACTATTGTATGCACTGCCCACAAGTCCACAAACCACATCTGCTTAATTATTCGTCCACTGCCAGCAACGAGGACAATGATTCTTCGATTTGCTGCCAGCAGTTTTGTCTCCCAATTCAGATCTTGCATGCTTGATTTATTTAACTTTATCAATACCAATCTAAATTTATCAACTTTCCTGGTAGCAACTATAAGAGGGATCCAATACTGGTAAATGGATGGGTTGACTTGTCTGAACAGTTTTAAGTAAGAGGTTAAAATATCAGAAAATAAAAGCCCTCAATCTGTTTTCTTCTGAGTGTAGCTACAATGTTTTTTCTTAATGATTTCCCTTTTACTTTACTACTTTTAAACCCCATGATTCAAGTAACTGGCCCATGACAGTGGGAGAGGCAAGAAGTCTCTAGCCATGAGATTCATCTAACCAAAGTTCAAAAAGATACAGGCAACACTTTTTCATCTTTTGGGATAGTTTTGTATCTACAGAGGGCAGTTCTTTCTCATCCTCAGACAGGCACTAATGGTAGAATAGAGCAGTGTGCTAGTTTTTCTCCACTCCGAAACGGTGAGACCACGGTGGCCAGCTATTTAACTGTCTGACTGCTAAGGTGGAGTGTGTTGAATCTCAGTGGAGGTTTCTGTTCTACTACTGATCTCCAAGGCAAATGCTCTCTCTTTCCTTTTCTTCCAAATTTCCACATGTATATCTGTCATCAAAGAGCTAAAACAGCATATGTGTCCCTGTTCTCCTGGGAACACTGAACCTTATCAGTTTTGTTTCTGTTTGGAGATACTAGGGGCAAATTTTATATATAATCAAGGCAGAGAACAGAAGTGGTATAGAGTGTCATTTGCTTCACTGTCTTGAATAGAAATACAGCATTAAATTAAGGGCATAAAGAAAAAAAAGTGCTTCCTCCCATCAAGCAATAATAATAGTTTTAAAAATTCGTATCTTTTACCAAAATAAAAAAAAAAAAAGAAAAATTTTACCAAAAGAGGCAAAAGAGAAAAGAAAGTATAAGCAAATAGCATCAAATTCAAGCAAAATAGGCATCAAAAAAAGGCAGCCATATATGCCAGCACTTACCATCACAGTTGCAGCTGCCGCAGCTGCCTGGGCTGCCACTGCAGCCTGGTTGGCTTGGTGTTGCGCCGCTTTGATTTTGGCCTGCAAATGTGCAGGAGGGTGAAAATACTTGCATTTCTCCCTCATGCAACGACCTTTTATGTAATCCATACACACGGTTACGGTGTTGTCGTTTGTGTCAATCATTGTGCTGTCTGCTGGATGCGCAAAGCGGCAATCAGTCTCTCCACGTGCACAGTTTCCCCGCTGGAACTCCCTGCACACCTACGTGCAAAACAACACATGTTGCAGGGGTAGAGCTCTGTGCAAGATGAAAGGGCAAGGAGAGCCCCGTGCCCCCAAAAGACAGATTTGCCGCTTTCCCCAGTTAGTTCAAGTTTTACAGAAAATTCAATTTATTAAACCCTTCATCTTCTGGTGGGAGAGGGAAATGCATCTATTTTACCCTTACGTTCTTGGCTCCTCGGGTAGCTCTGCAGTACAGTGGCTAAATAAACTTGACATGCAACAGAAGAATTCACAAGTGCCTTTCCTTTTTCCGGTTTAGAAAACAGCTGGAAAGGATACTTACTGAAGTAACTACCCCTGCAAAACTAGCTGGGAATGACAAAATATTTCATCCCTTTCTAACTACACTTTATATTCTTGCAGGTTGACTGGTAGGGAAGGAGTTCCTCTTGCTGAAACTCAGGGAAGATACATGTCAGATGCACTGTATTTTTTATGGAGTCTGCAAACAGAACTGAGAGCCTTCTTAAAAATAATTTTCAAATATGAGGAGAATGAACTTCTTTTCCTAGGAAGAAATGTGCTGTAGAGACTAGTGCTTAGGCTGTTGGGAAAGGACATTCATTTCTGCAAGTCATTTGGCCTTCTTATGTCCTTGGATCTCACAGATTCCACTGAGTCCAGCCGTGCAGACATCCATCAATACCTGGGACGCTCTGCACATAACTGGGGGCTTGTCCCTTCCACCTGCTGCAAGGTTGGTAACATTCAACATGTCTATTTGCAGCTGAAGCATGAAGGGCTACACCACTCCCCTAATATTGATCCATAAGGCTACGAAATTCCCTTACTATCAGTGCAGAAAAATCAAGACAGAATTAATACTGAAATAAAAAATATGCTAGCTAGATATTTCATCAAGGCATGTATACCTGAGGTATTTTGGAGGTCATGAACTTTAAAAAAGATGAAAATTCATGTTGATGTCTATTAAATTTAAGCAAATGTACTACCTTAAAAATAACAGTGTTTAATTACCACTGGCTGCAAGTGCAGAAATCCTGCCTGGTTACAAATTTTTTTACCTGTAGCAAATAAATTTAAGTCTAGATTTAAACCAACAGCTTTTCCCTCCAGGATCTTTCACACAGCCTAACAGAGGATGTATTTCTAGTCACAGTGGTGTCTACAGTACCTCCAGTTTATCAGTCCTGAGGAGCTTCTGGGTAGCAGTTGAACTGGGGACTGAAACCGGTGGACTTCCAGGAACAATGACAGGCGGTGTGGGTAGGATCTCAGTCGGGACTAAGCCAACTCCCGGTGTTACTGGCGTTAGGTAAGGAGCAAAGCTAATAGCCGTGTTCGTTCCTATTGTGGGACCCACTGGAAATGTGGGCTGCAAAAGGAAAACACAGACCAAGATGAAAAAAAAGGCCCTTAATCAATAGCTTATTAGTTGTCTTTTGCTTGTTCTTTCTGGCACTGATTCATTTTCTTAATGAAAAAATTTCAAACAGCTGGCAAAACACACAGCATACTCTTCTTTTAATCATGTAACACACTGGAGCAGCACACGAAGAACTGCCTTTTTAACACTATTATTGGAAAAGAGTCTCCTGATGCAAAGGAAGCCATACTTTTAACCTGAATCTCTGTGGAGGTCCAGCTTACATTGCAGGCTTATTTACACATCTAAATGTAGAAATAACATAGACTTTTGCTTTTTCTTAATACCTGTTTTCCTTGGGAAAACAGGTTATTTTTCAAAGTACCAGATTTCATAGGTGAAGCGTTATTAACTATATTAAAGTCATATTTCTAATAAGAGTATACACAATGAGGTCTTTGGCATATAACTTCCATCTGTTTGCATACTGTATTTTGCCACCTCCTGCAATATGTTACTGTGGCTCATACATTTAAAAAACTCACCTTTGCAAATGTTTGTGTGCTCAGCTGTCACCAGTGGCAGGCAGAATAAATACTATAATCTCAGCTGGACACAATATTTAGAAAGGGATTATTCAGGCTTTGCTAGAGTTCATCATATGAAAAACTTTGATTGGAGGAAATGATATGGGTCTAAAAATCTTGTTTCATGCCTTCCTACAGTGAGTCAGTGAAGTCATGACCAGAAGAAAGAACACTTGTGTGATGCTAAAACGCAGCCCTGATGAGGCAGAATAGTGGGTTTGTTACCACCAGCTCCACAGGGGGTGGAGGCAGAACATCACCATGGTCAGATCACACTCAGACCTGGAAAGTGCTTTAGTTCTGCAGAGCTGATGTTTACCCCAGAGAATGAAGTTATAATTATAAATGAGAAAAAACCATGCAGAAAAACAGGACACATCTCAGATTAGCTTTGTCAGAAATTAAGTTTCCAAATAAGCCAGCAGCTAGAAACATAACAGCAAAATACTAAGACGTCAAACCAGTTTTTAACAAGGGAGGAGTGCCTTCTCATTTAGGTGGCCTGCAGGATATACAATATGTAAAAATATGCAAGAGACAGCAAAGGAGCTAGAAGGGTGGGGTTTTTTTCTGTTTTGTTTTGGGTTTCAGTTTGTTTGGGGTTTCTTTTTTCCTTTGGAACCAATTACTAAATTGTAAGTGAAGGTAATTTAGTACAAAGATGTTTTGAGCACACAGATTAGCCAGGATAAACAACTGTATGGAAATGGCATCTACCAGCCCTAGAGAGTTAAAAATGTATGATGCTCTGGTTTTATCAGTGATCAAAACTGCTTGATATCAAGCAACCCAGTTTATATGTCAAATGTGAGTTAAATTCTTAAGGGCGTAATAATGAACATTTATATGAAACAATGGCTCAACTATGTTGAGGACAATATGTGTTATGTGAAATACAAATAACAGCTTTGTATCAGATAAAATTTTATGAATAAATCCACATGTCAAATAACTTCTATAGAATTTTCTTTCATTTTTTATCCATTTGGTCAAGGCTGAGTCATCTTAATCTGGCAATTTATGCAAGACAGAGAAATAAAACCTGGCATTTTTATCACAGTAATCAGTACAGAAGACATTACGTCAATGAAATTGTAAAGTTCAAATGACGAAACGGGCAAGAAGAAAAAAGTATAATTTTCCACTTCAATTCTTCTCATAATACTAAGCAGTGGAATCTATTGCTTCATCAAAACTTTTTCGGATGAAAACTCAAGCAGTAAAAACCCACAAAATATCAAAACACATTAGGCAAACATAACCAAGATACAATCTGATGAACATGTGAAATTCAAGGAGTCCTGACACCCAATTCCCAATCACACCTGACAGCAGATGTTTCAAGTACAAAAACACATTTGAAAAAGGCATCTGGGGTGAGCTTCCTGTGACCAAATACAGACATCTGTTTCTGAAATGCTTACACTTGACTTCTGCAGTAGCCCATGGAAAGACAAAGGCACTTAGAAAACCAAATGCAGATGTTTGAAAAAAGCCAAGCAAATGGTAATTAGGAGTGCCTATGTCTTTTGATAAACTATAAATGGACCTTGCAAGTCCAACACAGAAGTTGATGCCAACACTCCAGATGCCTCAAATTGGAAAAGAAATCCCACTCCAGTGGGATGCCTTACACTAGGCATTTAGATTGAAAAAACATCAGCAGCAGCCATGTGTGCAAAGTTTAATTCAGATTACGTGCCAAACCATGCTTTGGAAGTCTGCTACAGTGAGAAGCCCAACTGCAAGGGCAGCCCAGAGCAACTGATGCTGCTCATGTATGCAAGACTCGAGTTCCATGCCACCTTCTGGATTAGAAGTGTCCCAGGCACCATGAGCATCATCTTGAGACAAAATCACTGAGTTTGTGATGTGCACACACCACCAGTTCTCTGTTTATCCTGGGACACTTCAGACTCCAACAGAGTAAGAAAATGCTATCCAGAATGACATTAACCTTGGTTCCTGGTATTGGCACTAAATAATATTTAAAGCCATTCAAACCCATAGACTCCTGAGAAACCTGGCATTTCTACTCAAATGACTTACTAGCAAATTATTGTTGTTATTCAAATTTTCACCTCCAGAAAGATTATAGGGAAAAGCCTTGCAAACCTGTCATGAACTGAATGAAGGCGGAAAAGAGGAAAAAAATTGCAAATTGTTTTGGGATAAAAGAAATATAAATCAAATCTACAGCAACACTCCATTTTATCTTCAAATGCAAATATAAATGCACATATCTCTAGCATCTCGGCAATTCCTTAAGTCAACAGACAGGGACTATTTTTATTGCTACTAGTTTAGAGAACTTTTGCAGGTCAATATAGTCTTCAACTTTACTTACCATTAACACCATCAGAGAAATACACTTACCACTGGCTGTAGCGGTGTCCCTGGAAACATGAACTGCATTTGCTGGGCAAGCATTGCTGCTGCAGTTTTTTGCTGGATTAAGTTGTTCCTGCCATTGATTTCCAGTTGAGTTTTTAAATGTGTTGGTGGATGAAGGTACTTGCAGTTCTCCCTTGTACAACGACCCTGGAAAAAGAAGTCACATTAATCGGCCTGCTGCTTTTGATGATAGTTTAATGCCTGCGAGCAAAATATGATACTATAAACTAAGCAAGAACTAATGAAACGCAGGGTGTGTCCTGTGAACTGTCCTGTAGCAGACTGGGAGGAGCGGATGGCCTTGAGCTCTGCCTCAGCCCACCACCTCTGATTGATCATTTAGGCTATTAGACACAGGAAAAAAACCCAAACAAAACAGAAAGGCTTTGAATCAGCATTTTCATTGTTAAGTACAGATCACTGCCATAGAATTAATGCTCTGAGAATTATCCAGACTACCTGAACTGCCTTTCATAGCATCTTTGTTAGAGTATCTGGTGTTATTGCAACATAAAAGTTTTTTTATAAATTACATTACATTATGAATAACAAATTGAAACCTTCTTTTAGAGTAATGCAGCTTTTAAGTACATCATATTAAAAATAATTGTGTGTGTTCATGGCAGTAAGGATCTAAAGTGGCCACTCTGCTTGTCTTCTCTCATACGTCCACCCTTATTCCAGTTCACTGCCTTCTAGCCTCCTGTTTTTATTACATCAGCACAAGTTTGAACTATTTCCATTCAAGTATAAAAGAGGTAAAGCTGGTACTTTTACAGACTAAATTTAGAAGCAGTGCATGGAGCTAAATCTGAAGGTACACAGCAAAAGGAAAGCTCCCAATCAACATGAAAGTAGGAATTTTTAGACAGTAATGAGGTAATAAGAGACAACAAAAATATAGGTGGGCTGTCATCTCTGAGGTGGCTTGTGTTGGAGGAGATGGACAGCTCTACAAGCTGTGTATGCTTGACCACAAATGCAGGTAGAGTGGCATAAGACGCACTGATACATTTTCCCTCAGAAAAGTAAATTGCAGGGTGCATCAGGAGGTTTTGCAGCTGCAGGGCAGGACCTGCTGAGATCAGAAGCTCCTTGATGACAAGGCTCACAAACAATCACAGAATTTTAAGAGCTGTAACCAGAGGACCTAGAGCGTTAGTCAAAATGCATTTGATACACTCAACTTGTATAAGGTAAGTTTCCAAATTGAGATGTTTTTAAGAAATGCTTTTTAGACTTTCGATTCATTGGCTTTACTATCCATAGCAAAGCAGGAATATCCTCCTATAGCCAAAAAAGCATCAAGATCCCTATACAAGAACATCACACAGTACAGACATACACTGGCTCTGTGTATGCATGCCCACACACATACAGCTACAGACCTTTCAGTAGGCTTTGAATGTCCCCAAACAACAGTGTCACACTTTTTACTTAGACACCAAAACACTGCTGATTCTGCCTCTGATCTGCTATAAGGATGTAATAACTAGCTGTACAGGAATGAGTTAAACGTGTTCAGGAAGGTTCTCGTGCATTGAGGCTAACAGGAATGCAAACAGCTATTTCCACGCTATTTAACTATAGAGAACAGCCCTTTCCTGAACTGCCCCTGGCCACTGCTTGGGAGTATACCAAACAGCAGAGGCCAGAAAACATCAAGAAAGTTAAAAATTTAAGAAAAAACAATGGTCTCAATGCTCAGGAACAATGGTCTCAGTGCTGTTTTAACCTGTTAGTATAGATGCAGCCACTTTCAGGACATCACGCCTTTCCTTCTGTTGAGTAAATCACTAATGCTACCTGGTTTAATGAAGTCCACAAAAGTAATGTTATTTTGTCAGCTGGCATGAGCAGAACCAGAAATAGTCATGATTTGATGGACACAAAAGAAGGCTGGCTCTTTCATTTGGCAGGGACAAGGCCTTTGCCTTCATAATGTTAAACTGGGGAAGGCTCAGCGCAGGCAATGACCATACACTTCTGTGTTGGCTGATGAGGCTAACTGATTCAGACATTTTTAACTGAGATCTATTCTACCTTAATCTATTTTGTACATGAATGGTTCATACAGCAAATCTAAAAATTAAAACAGCAAAATCACATCAAACTACTGTACCTGATGGAAATATCTACCTGTCGAAACTAAAATGCTCCTTAAATGAGGATTGAGAACAACTCTCCACCACAGTGGCTTCTGAAGTACCTCAAACCTGAAGAGTGCCTCCAGTCTTACCTCTGAAAGCACACAACTACTGTATACCACCACTTCAAGATCTGCAAAGCAACTCACAGTGCACAAAAGATTGGTTATTTCTGAAAACTTTCTAAATAATCCAACCATACAAAAATGTAGTGTCCTCTCTAACCTTATTCAAGTCTGTGCCTCGTTTACTAGTTTTTTGAGCTCCCAGTTAGCAATGAACGTACGTACTATAAAAGAGCTGTGTGGTCCTGCTATGCTGCTATAGAAAGCCCTCTAAACAGATCAAGCCTTGTTGAAATTAAATGACCCAAAATAAACTGCAGTGGAATGAGCACTGAAAATAGTGAGGAGATTAATCCAGCCCTCACTATCAAAATTAAATAAATTCTAAGATCAGCTTTTACTTTTTGGACCTACAATGGTAGCAGGAAAACGCCTATAAGCATTTTCATTCCTTTTTTCCCAAATGCTTCATGTCCCAACTACTAATCACTGCACAAACAAAAATTCAAACTTGTAGTATTATTTCAATCAAATGGGATCCTGATTTTTTTTTTGTTTATTAGAAAGTCAAATATGAAGTCCAATGGACATGTCAGCACATATCAACCAAACAGCAGAACTGTACACAACACACAGGTATATTCAACACATTGCTTGGGTCAATATCAATAAGAGTCCACTTCGGATTATTGCAAAAAACTACTATGCTAGCAGGCCACATGATCACAGATGAGACAAAGATGAGTACTTTAACTTTAGGGTGCATCAGTATCAAGCCTCTGGAGAGAGGTTCATCCCAGCTCTTAAAACTACTGCAGTTTAAGAGCTGCTCCGCAGACATTGAGTCCCTCTGGCGCACGATGGCACAAACTCAGCAGGACAGGGCAGGTGGCAGGGAAAAATAATTGCTTCTTACAACTTTTCACCTGCTCCCAGATACAAATTAGAGTCCTGAAACTGAGGGCACAGACAGATTGGTTTGAAACTGGGTCCCTAGAAACTCTTGTCATCCATGAAGTGAAGGTTATCAACAAGCACATCATAAGTGGTTGTGCACTTCCCATGGGAGTTCATGCGAAAAATTCACTTTCAGTGAGCTGCCTCCTTACCTGCAATGGATAGTAACAATGAACAGACATCAGATTAAATTCCGAGCAGTCTGTTACTCCCCTCATCCTGGAAGGATGGAACTAACTCTGATCTTTCATTTCTCTGCCTTTGTCCTCTACAGCTAGCCTAATGCACAGTACTACATTTCAGTTGGCTAATGGAAAGTTTTAGCAAAAAAAATTACTTTTCTACTGCTAATTATCCAGACTGGAAACATGTTGTGGTTCGTGTTGGGCTGCGCCACAGGCTTCATTCCAGTGAAGCAGTGGGAAAGGGAAAGGGTGCATCAAGGATCTGGGGACTCAAAGGGCTTCAGTGCCCATTACTTGGGCATGGCAAGGAGAAGCTCTGCTTCTGCCAGGGCAATGGTCTTGGGAGCTGCTACCTGACTGGCTTAATTTCAAAAACACATTCCTTCACAAGCCATGTCACACCACTAACTTTTTTTTTTTAAATCAATAAGTTTTTCTATTAAGAACAATAGATAGTTTGTCTAAGATCAATCGCACAAGACAGCCCACAGACTAGAGTATATTAAAAAGCTAGGTACGTGCTTTCAATTTTAAGATAAGCAAAATGAGGTAAGTTCAGAAGTAACACCCCATAACTTTGCATATTAACATACTACGAACCCATTTCCTGTCTACAAGTTGTACAGCCATGTCTCTGTCTTGAATGTTTTATAAATACACAGCTTTCTTCAGTATTTTACTATTGCTCTAATAGTAACAACAATAATAATAATTCATCCAGGCTTGGGAATTCCTTATGCCTAATAATGAGTTAGCTTTTACTTACCAAAATTACCTTCATCTTTCACAGAAATGTTTGAATAGAAAAAAAAAAGGCAAAACAATGTTTCTTTTATTTCTTAAGCCAAGAATCAATTAAAGCATTCATAACGATTTCACTCAGGTACTGATTTCAGGCAATATATTGATGCTATTAGCAGGCAATAATACAGCATGCCTCCCCTACCTCACAGCACGACCTAACATATGACACAGGACATCCCATCACCTTTAAAAGACAGGTTATCTGATGAGAAGCAGAAACAGGAAGGCCTGCTGCCTTGCAGATGTTTGTCTCTTGTTCTGAACCTCGCTCCCCAGGGTGTTTCCAGCTCCCTCTACCCACCTCTGTTCTCCAAAAACTCCCAGCTTCCTACTGTACCCCACCTCCATCCTTCCTTCTCCCCCAGAACACCCTCCCACCCCTCCTAACTATAGACCAGGAAACAACTCATACGATAAATATAACTCGCTTGAGACTTGCATGTCCTGAAGAGCCAGCCAAGATGTGAATGTGGCTGGCAGACCACACTTGGGTGTGGCTTAGTGCCCACTCCAGCCTTTTCCTTAATAGGGTAGTACTTTGGATCTCTCTCTTGCACCCAGACACTGATTTTTGCATAACCAGTAAGAACTTTAAGATATGTCTTTGAGATGTCTGCTTCTAGCAACTTTGCTTGAAATTGGCTAGGATGTTCAAAAGTTATTAGGGTGAGAGGATGGTGCTGGCAAAAATACAGATAGTGCAATTATGCAAAACCTGTTTCCTTAAGAAAACAAGCTAAAATTAACAAATGTAGATGAAATTGTATGATCTCTCAGGATTAAATATGCAGTCTAAGGGGGGGGGGGAAGTATATGACTTCCAAGACATGAATGGTTTTAGAAGGCATCTGAGTAACCGGTTATACAAAGGAAAAAGGGTTTTCTGGTTTCCAGCTAGACATTCTAAGATCCAAACATCTGCTGGAATTAGAAAAGACACACACATACACACACACAAATTTTTAAAAAGTAAAAATCACCTGATGCCA